GTAGGGGAGAGCACCACCTCCCTTGGGAGCCCGTTCCAGACCTTGGCCACTCGAACTGTGAAGAAGTTCTTCCTAATGTCCAATCTAAATCTGCTCTCTGCTAGCTTGTGGCCATTATTTCTTGTAACCCCCGGGGGCGCCTTGGTGAATAAATACTCACCAATTCCCTTCTGTGCCCCCGTGATGAACTTATAGGCAGCCACAAGGTCGCCTCTCAACCTTCTCTTGCGGAGGCTGAATAGATCCAGTTTCTCTAGTCTCTCCTCGTAGGGCTTGGTCTGCAAGCCCTTAACCATACGAGTGGCCCTTCTGTGGACCCTCTCCAGGTTATCCGCATCCCTCTTGAAGTGCGGCGCCCAGAATTGCACGCAGTACTCCAACTGCGGTCTGACCAGCGCCCGATAGAGGGGAAGTATCACCTCCTTGGACCTATTCGTCATGCATCTGCTGATGCACGATAAAGTGCCATTGGCTTTTTTGATGGCTTCGTCACACTGCCGACTCATGTTCATCTTGGAGTCCACTAGGACTCCAAGATCCCTTTCCACTTCCGTGCCACCCAGCAGGTCATTCCCTAGGCTGTAGGTGTGCTGGACATTTTTCCTCCCTAGGTGCAGCACTTTGCATTTCTCCTTGTTGAACTGCATTCTGTTGTTTTCTGCCCACTTGTCCAACCTGTCCAGGTCTGCTTGCAGCTGTTCCCTGCCCTCTGGCGTGTCCACATCTCCCCATAGCTTTGTGTCATCTGCAAGCTTGGACAGAGTACATTTCACTCCCTCGTCCAAGTCACTGATGAAGACATTAAAGAGTATCGGTCCAAGGACCGAGCCCTGCGGGACCCCACTGCCCACACCCTTCCAGGTCGAAACCGACCCATCCACCACGACTCTCTGGGCGCGACCCTCCAGCCAATTCGCCACCCACCGGACTGTGTAGTCATCCAAGTCACAGCCTCTTAACTTGTTCACCAGTATGGGGTGGGATACCGTATCGAAGGCCTTCCTGAAGTCTAAGTATACAACATCCACCCCTCCTCCTGTGTCCAGGCGTTTCGTAACCTGGTCATAAAAAGAAACTAGATTGGTCAGGCACGATCTGCCTGCCACGAACCCGTGCTGGTTTCCCCTCAGCATAATTTGTCCTGCCGGGCTCTCACAAATGTGAGCCTTGATAATTTTTTCAAAGATTTTGCCAAGGATGGAGGTGAGACTGACTGGCCTATAGTTGCCCGGGTCCTCCTTCCTCCCCTTTTTGAAAATGGGGACCACGTTGGCCCTTTTCCAGTCCTCCGGGACTTGGCCCGTGCGCCACGAGCGTTCAAATATTCCCGCCAGTGTCTCTGCAATGATGTCGGCCAGTGCCTTCAGCACCCTCGGATGGAGCTCATCCGGGCCTTGTTAAACACAGACAGGGTAGAATCAGATGAGCCAGCTTGGCAAAAAGAAAAAGCTCCCACTATTTCACTGAAGTATTTAGCTGTTTTTTCTCACTAATATCAAGTGCCGCACAATCCCGAACATACCGGTCTTCACAGCACTCTTCTTAGGGAGAGAGATGGGATTAGTTTTCTTGTAAGAACGGGGAATGCAGGCTGAGATTCTCAAAGACAAACCCAATGAACACACCAAGTCTTAGTTCCTCATCGTGCCATGTATGGTGCCTGCTTTACAAAGCCAGAAGAAAAAAACTCTTGCTCATAATTTGGTGACCTCATGCAGAGGGGAAGAGTGAGGTCACACCGGGTATGTGACAGTGCATCATTGGACCCCCAAACTTCTGGTTTTCTACGTATCCCCAGAACCAACCCAGCCCAGACAGCCCTGCTGCAAACTGCTCCATGCTGCCTCATCCACGTGCTGGTACTCTGACCTGGATCGGACTCTGCTAAAGGTATGGAAGGCCCTTAGTTTGCCGTAGCTATGTAATACCCAGGCTTTCTGGGGAGAACGCCAACAGAGGTGGATCTGGCGTCTGTAAGGTCTGAGATTACCAGCACATTTCAAGTAGACCAAAAATAGGAGCATCCTATAACACAGGAGGCCTCATCCTGCTATTGGATCCATAGGCACCAATCCAGGAAATGAGGCAGCGAAGTGTCCCTTGATGGTACCTTGCAGCATCACTTTCCACCAGGTCAGAAACCGAGGGCAGGGAACAGCGCTGAGCGGGGGCATTCAGGGCAGCTTCACCACCTTATCCTGGGACTGGCACATGCAAAGTGGGGGTTGAGCGTGTGGGGCCGGCTTCTCAGCAGTGATCTTAGAAGCATCAGGGAGGAAGGATGCAGACATACCTTGCATGTTGCTTTTCTTTCTTTCTAGAAATGAGGGAAGAAATGCAGCAAACAGGACAGCGAGGGTGACACAGATCCCCCAGCTGATCGAAACTCAGCAAAGCTCTAGACCTCACAGATGATCAGTATCCAAGAGGGCGTTCTGCACAGCCAGACCCCAAAATTGCAAGGTACTGGAGAAGCCTTCAAGAGATATTGAGTATAAATCAACATGAATACTCCCTGAGAACCCAGGTCAGCATTCCCATGCTGCTTGTCATTGCCCGCTCTTGCTGGATGAAGGCGTGTTTGCTTACCCTTGCTACGCTATTTCTCCCAGAACCCTGCTTTTCTGCAAGATAGTGGAAAAGTAGAAACATCCTACATGCGTGAAGCTAGCAGCTGCCCTGGATCCCTTCTGCTTGACAGAAGGTTGTATTTATTTAGCTGCTAAATATTTGGCTGTTTTTTTGAGAGGACGGATATGTTCACATGAGAGCATGAGAGGATAAGGCTTCAAAAATAGCAGGCAGGGTACAGTAACAGTGCTGTGGAGTAGGAAGTGTATCCATGAGCATTGCATTAAAGACTATCGGGACCCGGCTTGTGTAGCATGGGTGCAATCCAGAGACACCCTTTGCAGCTGCCTCTCCCTCTAGACCATGCAGAGCTCGATAAGATGCCTGGAGCCTCTGAACTCACAGACTTGAGTCTTTCAGCTCAGGAATAGAAGCTGTTACTTGCTCATGACTTCAAGCCCCTCCTAATATGGGCCCTTCAGAGGTGCTGCATTGTCTAGGTGTCACAATTTGTCTACTAGGGAGGCAGGGTGGCCCTGTGGTTAGGGTGCGCACCAGCAATTCAGGAAACCTTAACTCAGTTGCAAATTTGGCAAGTCACTTCATCTTCCTGTGCCTCAGCTTCTCCATTGGTAAGAAAGGGTTAGTAGCACTCAACTCTATACAATGCATCGACATCTAGAGATGAAAAGAGCTAGCTATGAACCTGGTGTCGTGTCACAATCGCCTTTTTGCTCCAGGGCCTGCTTAGAGCAGACCAATTCCTGCCACCTCACGTATTATCCAGCAGCACCTGTATCTTTGGGACTGGAACAGTTTTGTTGCAGATGACCGGCTTCAGGGGTTGGCACAACTTACATGGCAAGGAGTTTATATATCTGGGGGCTCCCTGGACTGGAGCAAGGTGGTAGGCAAGGACCGGATCTGACACACTGCTCATCCATAGGGGCAGCAGCAGAAGCGTCTCTGCCTGACTGATCCGGGCTGGTCCCTATGGCCTTCACCAAGGAGAGGGCAATTGCCCCTTCCATTTTCCAACGGCTCCATAAGCAGAGCCTGGTCACATCACCGAGATGCCGCTGCCCTTGGATAATTCAGTCCTCCTCTGGCACCAGTCCCACCCCAGCAGATGCCTGGGGCATTGGAGTCTGGTGTCCCAGTGGAGGTGAAATCAGTGGAATATACCCTATCCCCATGCTCAGAGAAACTATCTTTCTTTACACACATGTATGCAACCTAAAATAAGAAGCCTACAGCCTGCCAGGCAATCCCCTTCCAGGGATCTCAGCCCAGGCACAGCGTTTGAGGTTGATGCTACCTCCAGAACAAACTCTCGTCAGGGCCCAAGGCAGAGAGACATCCCGTCCTGCGGGCACACAACTCCCTCGCTCCGCCAGCTGCTCCTCACATCACCCCAAAGGAGCAAGGCATGCACCCTATCTCCCCAGCAGCTCGCACTGGAAGAAAAAAGAAAGTGGAACACTATCTCAGTGCATCCAGGAGGCCGAACTTCACCCCAACAGGGTATCATCTCCCAAGTGAAATATTCACTTAAACTCTGATCCTAAATATCTGCCTTTCGTAACAGCAGTGCACTATTTCTGCTGGTTAATTCCTCCCCCCCAGGCTTCAGCAGCACATTATTGCGCTCTGTCAACACACTTAGCAGAGCTGGATCTTTTACATGCTGTAAAAATGCTTTAAGCAAGCAGAGGAACAACCACTAATCAGTTCAATTAGACCCGCTGAACCCAGAATGAGTAGGAGTTCCAATTAACTCACCCTTTCAACACTTCCCACACCCCAAAGCCAAGGTGCTGTATCGAACTATATGCTTAATGCTGCTAAGAGCTAAACAGAAGAGTAGCACATATCCAGCATGTTAGCAACATGCTTTGCAACTAATTCACTGCAAACGCTTAGCATATCCGCAGCGCTAAAGAAAAACTCTAGGCTGTCGAGGGCAGCAGCTCATGCTGCTATTAAAGAGGAATATTTCAGTGTCCCGGTGAAGAGCAGAGCACCACTCAAAGTGTAACTAGAAGACAGGACAGCTTGGAGGCAAGAGCTCTATGAGGCTTAGGGCAAATCCAGTTTTCCTTCTAATAAAGCTCCTTGTTCAGTGTTAGAAGACAGCAGCTCTTTCGGTAAGGTGGAAGGTATCTGGCACGGGGCAGGATCTGCCCTCTTACATGACTTTCTATTTTTCCTTCATGTTAGAGAAGAGTTGGGTAATTAATATTACCGGGTTCTTGGAATAATTAACATTAATCACGTATATGCTCCCAGCGGTCTTTCCTGCTCAAGTGCAGGGAGGGTTGGACCCGATGATTTGTAAGGTCCCTAACAACTGTGAAACTATATCCACTGAAGTCCACAGTTTTCCGAAGCAAATGGAGTGAAAGCTCATTCCTACCTTTGTTCTAGACAGGGGAAGTGGCGTCGCTGTCTCCAGCTCCCAGCAGGTGGCTCGGCGTAATTTTCTGTTCCTTGGTACTTGACGGGATCAATGCACTCCTCTACGTCACTCCTTGCTGCCTTCCAGCTCTGTTTAATGGCAAAGAAATGGTAAGAATGAATTACCTTTCTTGTAACTCCCCCTCTGGTCATTCCCTGCATGCTCCCCTTGGATTCCCACGCACGTTAGCAGAGTCAGAGCAAGGGCTCCTATGAACTAGTGCCAAGGTGCGCGTGGGCATTTCAGTTCATCTCGTCATGGACAGACAATACAGGGGGAACAGACACACGTGCTCCGTAAAGGATCCAGAAATGAATCACTCTTTAGTGTAAGTACACAGCCAGAATTATACATCAGACAGCCAGAGAGAGAGAGACAAATTTCCCTGCCTCGGTTTTCCCAGCACTCTTTCAATTTGGGGGACAGTCCCCGGAGGTGGATCCTTCCTGCACATGGCTTCCTGCACCCACCTTTCCTGCACATGGCCTCTACTCCAGACCACATCATCTCTCTTTCCCGGCGCTCTTTGGAGACTAGCCTTCTTTTACAGCTAGTGTTGCCAACTCCCTCCTACGAAAGCCTGTCTCCTTGTTCTTCTCTCCCACCTATAATTTCTCTTCTGGAAGATGGAGTCTCTCCGGTTTCTTTACTGCAAAATGGCACATGACAGCTCCTTTATTTTATATCCTCTGGATACGTTTATCAAGTGACCATTATTACCACCTCCAACCCTGCCTCCGGAGCTCAGACACCTAATGCTGGGCAGTGCGTGCCCATCTTTGCCCCAGGGGAGCTCCATGTGAATGGCTGCTCTTCAGTGTTTAACCCCCTTCCTTTATGCCAGAATTTCCCCTGTCTCTTCTTGTGGGCTTTGGGTGAATGTGGAGGACACAGAAAGCAGAGAAAGCTAGTAAGCTCCATGTGCAACATGGAGTTTGTAGGCTGACACAAACCTTTAAAAGCTTAAAAAAAATAAAACAGTGAAGGGGGTCCCCATATCAGACTGAGCTCATGAAGTGCCCCCAGGTTCCCAGAGCATCAGCCCTCTTGGCTGGGTCCCACGGCTCTGGATGCATTAGGAAGGGGGTCAACTAAAGGGCTGAATAATGCCGGAGGCAAACAGGCTCAATAAAATTATTCTGTATTCAAGCACAGGGGGCTCCGATCTGACATATATAGCCCACTCCTGCGCTCATAGTACCCATCAGGACTAATACTTCAGCAAAAGAGCTCTTAACAACAGCATGTTGAGCTCTTACCAAGAGAGTGATATTTCATTTCAGCAGTAAATGAAAGTACAGAGCCTGATTTTCCTCTTGCTCACCTTGGTATCAATCAGGACTAACTTGATTTCTCTCTCTCTTGATACACCTACAGCCAATGTATCACAATGAAAGGATTGCTTCTTTTGCCAATACAGGCATATTTTCTTTGGTCCAAGAGCCACATTAGCATCCTTCTACAACTGCAATTAAAGACAACATGCAAGAGCCCTTTTAAACAAGAATATTGCCTAGCATAGGAGCAGGGGTACTGCCGTCCTGGCTTTTGTGCCTTCAGACTTGTTCCCTCAGCTCCAATCTATTCTCAGCTGCTGTGGTGTTGCAATGATATTCTGCTGGCTGGGTGACCCTTGGGGCCACCTCCCAATAAATGCCCCTGGTCAAACAGATTCAGGCTGGAGCAGTTTATATCTGATCATTACCCAGAATCTCCTTAGACGGGTGCAACCTTGCCCTATGCTTTGCATTTGTGTCTCACGAGCAATGCAAGGTAACACCATGTTTTTAAAATGCCTGTTTTATCTCGCTAGCCTAATTGATGCATTCAGACAGGCCTGCAGTGGGAAGAGGCAAATGCCTCCAGTAATAAACTTCAGTGTGTTTTAAAGAGCCAGGATCATTTCAGATTAGCAGCAGATGAGCCCCTCACGGAGGGTGCTAATTATTTACCCGTGGCATGGCAGCGTACCGCATTGCGGTGTAGGGGCAAGGAGTTTACCTGAAGCCTATGTACACTTACTCCCTAGAGGCACAGGCCAGACCTGGGAGAGAAATGAGCACGGCCGCGTGGTTCTGGAGGAACGGCAAGGACTGCAGACCTCCCGGGCCAGCTAGAGAAATCCATCCTGGCCATCCCTCCAGGTGGAGAGAAGGGGTGGGAAAGAAGTGGGGACGGAGATGAGTAAAGGGCGCAGAAACTATTTCAAGATCCTTTGTTGCAGTTGCAAAAAAACATGTGCCTCCTAAATGCAGGCAAATGTATCACTGCCAGGCGCTGACAATAACAGGACTCGGACCCTCCTGGTCGAGAAAGCACAGCCTCACTGCCATTGGCAGCAAAGGCATCTCTTCCCCCGGCTGTTAGTCTGCAGGATGAGTCCGCTCTGACTACACCCGGTGCGAGTGCTGCTCACATACCTGCCAGGTAGTTGATGACAAGAGAGCTCACCTGCCAAGCACAGAGCACACGCCGCAGTGCAGGGCCAGGCACCTGGGGCTGGGCTGCATGCAAGGACCGGCAGGGAGGGTCTCCTGGAGGCAAGCCTTAAGTTCAGGGGAGTGCAGCGGAAAACAAGTGTAGGAACTGGGCTTTGCTAGCTGCTTTATATTCACGGGAGGGATGACAGCAACATGCAGGCCCACACAGCCCTGACCAAGCAAAAGCTCCGCCACCATAGGAGAGCGGGCACTTTGACCTCCTCCAGTCCTTTGCCTTTCCTAATGCTCACTTCCATTCGCTCGCCTTCCCCGCCCACAGCCCGGATCAGCGTCGTTACCATTAACAAGCACAGGGGGTCAGATTTTGACAGCTTTTGCTGGTAAGTCAGACGGCAGATGGGAAAAACACTCAGTGCCTCGGCGAAAGGAGTTGCTTGCTCACCTCGTTATTGCAAAGAGCTGTTTGCTAAAACAGAGGGCACGGGGAAGACGAGCAAGAGCTCGTCTCCCCAGCACTATCTTGATGGACTTTCCTCCAGAAGCGTGGCTGCCTATAACCGGAAGGCCAAGCAGGGTTGTACCCTGTAGACCAACTTGTTGAGAACAGCATGAGTTTTCACAGGCTACGCAGCCTACTTCATCAGATGCTGTGCGTAGACCTGCGGACAGTGGGGGTACTAAATAGAAAGGAATAAAGTCATTTCAGTATACAGGATAGAGGAAGTTGGAGGTAAGAAGAGGGTACTACTGCGAGATAAAGGTTGACGAGATCCACAAAGCATTTAAACCATTTAGAGACACCGGGGTTATAATTAAATGCATTAGGGACACAAGGGTTATAAAAGCTAGTCTAGGTCATGGGATAAGAGTCCATGGTCTCTGTTGAGACCACACTTAACACAATCCAATCTGTGGACGATTTTTTGTTCTGCAATTTCGTGTTCAGGTTGGTTTTTAAAGGTTTGCTGTTTCCGAACAGCTGCTCCGAGGTCAGCGATGGACTGGACGGGAGGTTAAAGTGCTCTGCCACCGTCCGGCGTGTCTTTCTGGCATGGATGTCAGATCCATGTCCATTCGTTCTTTCACTTTGTCTGTCCAGTGCAGACGGCGCTGCAAGCAGGTGATGACATATGTGACACTGTCCATGACAATAGACACAAGAAGCTTATGCCTCCCTCTATAAGGTGCTGCCCTCCCCTGCCGTCTGCCTGACTTCGGGCTAACATTGCTACCTACTTCTGTCCATACCCTGATACGCCAGGCTGCTTTTGGTGGTTGCCTTAGGAACAGTAAGCATTTCTACATTGATTACCCCTGACCCAAGACCCTCACAGCTCTGATGAGTCAAATAGTGCTGGTGATTGACACCTCTCCCTGCTTTTCCCCAGCAGGATGGGGGTAGCATTACCGATCAGACACAGAGCAGCCCCTTATTATCAATGGAGGAAGAACCAGGCACTGTTATTTGTGTGTCTGCATGATATTCAACTGAGCCAGAATAAGGGTATCTTGGTTTTGGGGGGGGGTTTAATTGCTTGCAATCATTAGAGAAAGAGGACTGTGTTTTATCGGGCTGCCTACAGCTGAGAAAGGGGCAAAGAACCATTTCAGCTGCCTGTGAAACCCTGCTCTGCGGGTATCTTATCTTCTTCACTAGCTGAAAACCAGCTAGTTACCTCCTACCTGATGTAAAGCTGCTGGATCTCTTCCTCAGCTGCTGGCCATGAGCCCGGCTCCATCCCAGCTAGGGACACTTCAGCAACATTGCAGCTCAGGTCCTGCTTCAAGTCCATAGTAAAGCACAACTAATCTCAGAGCTGGGGCTCTGGAAATTAATTGAAGCAGCTTCCAGGGCTATCATTTGGCAGGACACAGGGAGTCGGAGAAAATGAAAGGTGTCCTGTGCGTCCCTGCTCCTGGATTCTTTCATTAACTTTCTTATTCTTCTTGCTGTAACGACTACTATTATCTTAGCAACAGCATCCAATTACCATATTAACAAAGCCCCCTGCAGCTTTCAGTGCCTTAATCCTCATGATGTATCTGTTCAGTGAGGAAGTGTTGCTATCTTCATTTTACAGAGGGAAAACATAAGATGGAAAGAGATCTCCTGGGCCATCGAGGTGACTGTCATATAATCCCTTGCATAAACCCAGCAAAAACTCCATCTTAATGCCAGTTTGGATTTTCCAAAATCTCATTGCTCTGACAAGTTACAACTTTTCTTCTTCCTTCCAGCCTATATTGATCCATAGCCAGCTTATATGCCTTTTTTCTTGTGCTGTTGTTATCCTTAAGATTAAATACCTTGATTATTCACATACCCAAATCACCTCCCCCACTCAAAAAATAAGGGTTGTAAATTGGGGCATGTGTCTTAAAGGGGAAAACTGATTCTGAACAGTTTGGCTAAAAGGAAAAACCTATTTTTTTCCTTCATTTTGCCACAATTGTTTGGGGGGGGCATGTGATACTTAAGTAAATATGGTGGTCTTTTTCTCTTTGGTATCTACCCCCCCACCCTCTGTGTATTTAGAGGCAACAGTCGCATCCCTTGTCAGCTTTGGTGGTGTTAGGCTAAGAAAGCCAAGCTTTTCTTGTCTCCTCTTGCTCAGAGGTTCCCAGTTCCCCTGACCATCCATTCTCTGCACCCACTCCAATTTGGATTCAGCTTTCTTGAATATGGGTGACCAGCCCTGCATTACTCATGTGGTTTCACTAGGGCCTTGCATGGTGGTCTTCATACTTCTCTAGCTCTACTGGAAATACTTCCCCTGATATATTCGAGGCTTATATTTGTCTTTTTTCTAAGGCAGAAAGGAGCTAGTTGAGTTACCAGAAGCTTATCACAAAACTAGGGCTTAAACCCATATCCCCAGGATTTCAGGCTAGCACCACAACTACTCCAGTCTTTCTTTACTGATGAACAGAAAAAGCATGTCCCATATGAACTCACTGACCTATTACTAGCCCATATAGCCATTGTTCACCCTCACAGGTCAGCATTATAGCACATTCTCAAGCCCATAAGTTTTAGGGTAGCATCTATAGGCTTCATCTTAAATGAGGCCATTGTTGTGCTAGGTCACTGGTGCTCCACCTGTTTAGACTCGAGGCACTCAGCAGATTGGAGGCACCCCTCAAAAGACTCAAGGGCCCCCTCGGAAAATGCTAGTCTTTTTTTTTTTGACTACAGAAAAATAATAGGACAGTTCTTCATTGCAAAAACCACAACAGGTCAGACTGTTTTAACCCTGTACATTCCTATTTGAAATCTCTGGGTTTATATTGAGAATCGTGTTTGCATGTCCAATAGTGCTAACACTGAGTGGCTCCTGCAGCACCCCTGAAAGGATCTCTAGGCACCCCAGGGCACCATGGTTAAGACTCACTGTGCTAGGTGCTGTTCATCATCACAGATGCTTCAGGTCCCCAAGAGCCTATACCCCGAGGTAGGTCTACACTGTAACCAGGGGATGTGACTCCAGCATGAATGAACCTATGAGACCTAATTTAATCCAGCTAGTGCATGTACTGAATGCAGTTGGGGGTAGGGGGGGTGCAGTGGCAAGGGTTTCAATGCTGGCTTGAAGTCCAAGAGTAGACCTACAGTTGTGAGAACGTAATACAGACCAACAAAAAGCATATGGTACCATGCCCATGCTGCTACTAATACCTAGGCTGGCTTGAATATATCTACATGGGCTGCAGTCTCACCTCCTGTCACAGTATAGATTAAAGGTGCTCCAAGCCGTGCAGCCCATAGGAGTGGAGTGGTTCAGACATGTCGATCTCTTTGGCCAACAGCACACAAGAGCGATGGGGGTTGACCTCATGCCCAGACCGCTTGGAGATGCCCCTGCCTGAATAACCAGGTGTCCATTTATATCTATGTTGATTAGGAACCCTTTGGCAGAAGTCCAGAGCAGGGAAATATTAGTTTGCAATAAAGTGACCCGCTACTTTTATAGGCAGTGAGTAGAAGTGTGGAGGCATTTAAAAAAGGATAATCCCCAAATAGATGCAAATAAGACTAATTTTAAAACACTTG